CCCCCCTCCCCCACCCCTCCCCCCAAGATAACAGAGACACATGGAGGGCTAGGAGCTGCCCAGCCCCAATGGACAAAAGTTTCCAAGTTGCACAAATGAAAGGACCCAGCTGCCAGCTCGCATCACAGTGCCACCCGGAGAGCAGGATGGTGTCTCCAGGGAGGTCAGACATGCTTAAGAAAACCCCTTTACCCAATAGAAATAAATAAGGCATGAAGGTTCCTACTGGACTCCTGGCACAGAGACCAGGGCCACCGCCTTCCACTGGACTGTATGGCTCCTCTGATTTCTAGGGTCTCAGGAAGGGTAGCAGAAGGAACCAGAAGCCCTGAAGGACTGCTCAGGACAAGCTGGGGACCTGGGCATCTCTTAGCTGAAGCTTACTCTGAAATCTTAAACCAAAACCTCTGACCCAACTGGGTTCTTAAAAGCCCCCCACAAAGGTGGAGGGCCTTTTAAGGGAGGGAGGGAACATGCTTATTCCTTGTCCCCATCCCAATCCAATTCAATACTATTCAGGGTAGGGGTAGAATCTCGGACAGTCCCCAGCAGAGGGGAGGCAGAGGTGGACACTGAGACCACTGGCTGGTGGTACATGTCCAGGACATTCTGGGGCCTGCAGATATGACCTGGGCCAGGGCTGGCCTATGGGAAGCAGGGAGTGAATGAGACATCATGGTCCCTGAGATGGGGACAGGTGCAGAGAGGGGAGGCAGAGGCCAAGCTCAGTGGGGCAGAGGCAGTGTGTGGAGACGGGGGCTCCCCACCGCCCTGGTCCCCGGAAGGCTCAATGCCCAGAAGGCATTTCCAAGGCTGGATCCCGAGGAGGTTGGCTTTGAGGGAAACAGGGTACACCTCTTTGCTGAGAGGCTTCTTCTTCCCTCCTCTGATTGGCTACAGATCTGTGGTGGGCTGAGGGTCTCTGGGGAGAAGCCGGTCCTTGGCAGAGCTGGGGCACCTGGGGCCTGGCTAAGACTTCCTGCTCTGCATGGCAGGGCCCATCTCTGGTCAGGACCCTGGGGGTGGAATAGCTGGTGCTAAGGGAACATCAGCGCATCATGGCTGGGAGAAGCAGTGGGTGGTCCAGAAGACCCCTGAAACAGCTGGCTCTGGGGTCCCCTTTCAAGTGTTTCCAGATGTGGCAAGGGGTCAGGGAGACCTTGCATTGCAAATCTCAGAAAAAACAGGCTTAGAAAGAAAAAAAAAAGCGAACTTCTGGCTTTCAGAAGCCTGGCCACAAACTCGAGGGTGAGGCCCAGGGTCAAGAAGCCAGGGGCTGGGGAGCTGGGGAATTCTCTGGGGAGTGGGGGCGTTTGGCTTTGAAACTCTGAGCTAAGCCTTTGGGCTGACGTGGGATGACCAGAGGCTCCTGGGAGGCAGGACAGGTTGGCCGCCTCCCACGTCAGCAGGGAACATGCTGTGCTTCCAGATCGAGGGGCCGTTCCTCATGCATCTCTGGAGTGGCCACGTGCTGTGATGTATTGCTGCTAAGGGGCTCTCTCACTCACGGAAGGCTGCACGGTCCAGGCCCGAAGGACCCCACCGCCTGGACCCTGGGGAGGTGGCGAGGCTGCAGGCTGGGAAAGGGTCACTTGCTGCTGTGCGTCTTGACTTTGGTGGCGTTGATGTCAGCCTTGGTCTTCTGGATCCGGGAGAAGATCTCCTTGAAGAGCGCCTTATACTCGGGCTGGCTCTGCTCCAGCCGCTTGTCCACGGCCTCCACATGCTGGCTCAGGCTCTTCTCGCCGGCCTTGGCCTCCCCCTGGCCCTCCTCGCCCCCTCGCAGGTCCCTCCACGAGCTGTCCCGGGAGATGGGCCGCGAGGTCTGCACGCCGGCGTGCCGCACGCCGGCCCCGTGCTGCCGGCACTTGCTCAGCAGCTCCTCGTACTTCTCGAGCAGCGCGTGGTACTGCTCGTCCACCTCCCGCAGGATGGACATGCCCCGCTTGCGCACGCTGTTGGCGTGCAGCGTGAGGTTGCCTGCGTGCCGGCTGGCCGGGTCTTTGGCCACGATGGCGTTGAGCGCCGTGTCGCTGCAGCTCTTGCGCACCGCGTGGCCGGGGGAGGCCGCCGGCGAGGAGACGCCGTCGTGGGCACCGGGATCGTCCCCGCGGCCCGGCTGGGGGTCGTCGGCCTCGGGGGCCTGGGTGAGGGGTGCGAGCAGGGCCTCGGCCAGGTGGTCCTCCCGGCCCAGCAGGTAGGTCTTGGCTTGCTTCATCTGCTGCAGCTCCAGCAGCTCGGCCTCCAGCTCCTGCACGCGCAGGCGGCAGGCCTCCATGTCGCACAGCTGCCGCTCCAGCTCCGAGTACTCCTGGAGCACCGCCGCGTACTCCCGCTCCGCCCGCTCCTTGCGCTGCCGCTCCTGGCCCACCTGGGAGCGCAGCGCCCCCACCAGGGTCTGCAGCCGTTCGTTCTCCTGCTCCAGGGGCCGCGGGCCCAGCTCCAGGGAGGAGCTGTGCAGGCGGAAGACATCCTTGCACCTGGCGGGCAGGGAGGCAGGGGGCGGGGCAGGGGGTGGTGGTCATGGCCGAGGCCAGCCTCCCACCCCCTGCCGCCCCGGCCCAGCCGGGGCCTTGCATCTCTCTTGTCCACCGGGCTGGAATTGTTTGTCCCTCTCCATTGGTTCTCCACCCTTCTGCCCCTGTTCTGGCCTGGAGGACAGCCGGCAGTCCTCCAGGCCAGAACAGGGATGCCTCAGCCAGCTTTCCTCTCTCCTCAGCTCAGCCCACAGAAGGTGCAGGAGGGAAGCGGAGGGAGGCTGTGGGGTATGTCCTCCCTAGGCTCTCTTCCTGGTTAGTGCTGGCCAGGCGGCCTTCTCCACACCTTCTAGGTGCCCGTAACCCGCCCTTCCCCTCCTTCCCCTTGCCACTCCAGGCCTGGGGCTGGCAGCTCCTTTCTGTGCAGCCCTGGGACTCTGCAGTGCCCCTGGGGTTCTCCTACACCTTTCTCACACCTCTTCAATACTAACTTCTCCTCCACTACTCTGTGTGAGGAGCTGTTTCCTGCCAGGACCTTTATGGGAACACTCACTGTATATGCAATATGTATTCTTACATTATACAGTAGTTGTCTGACCTTAGATTTGATGGGATCTGAAAAGCACAGTGGTTAATCCCTCCTGGCTTAGAATTCTGGCTGTGCCTCTTACTAACCAGGTGACCTTTGATGAGACATATAACCTCTGAGCTTCGGTTTTCTCATCTGAGTAATAGGCATAATAAAACACCCCCCCACCATGTTGCGATGAGGTTGAAATCAGCAGAGAGGCAGCACACAGCCAGTGACCAGTAAATGCCAGCTGCCATGACTGTCATTAGCAACAGGACCAGGGTCTCTGATGGCCCGGATGATGCATCGACTCTCATTTCCACCTGCTGCTTCTCCTTCCTTCCTCCCTGGCTGGCAGTCCCAGGGACCCTGAGTGGCGCTCTCACCTACCGGGGGCTGGTGCATAGCTCCTTGAGGCAGGGGAAGGTATGGATGGTACGCCTGCGTTCCCGCTTCTCCCGGAGCACTCGCAGCTGCTCCAGGCCCCTCAGCTGCTCCACCTGGGCCTGCAGCTCTTCCACCTGGGCCTGCAAGCGCTCAATGGTCTCTGTCAGCCTGGGGGTGGGGTGGGGGACATGCATGGGAGGGAGTTTTAAGCAAATAGGGCCAGTCCGCCTCACTGTAGCCTTGGCTCCCTGCAGATGGAGGGACACAGGGTAGGGAATAGGCACACTTGAGCTGTGCTGCCTGGTCCTGAGGTCTGACGAGGAAACCTCTGCATGCCCAGGGACCTACCCTTCTTTCATACCTCCCAGGCTGAGCTGATCACTCCTCCTCTGTGCCACCTCGGTTCCTTGTCTACTCCTTTATCACTTAGCATACTGCACTGCAGTAAAATATATTTACACGCCTGCCTCCTCTCCCAGGCTGCGAGTTCCCAGAGGGTGAGAGTGCTCTTTGTATCCCCATCTTTGTATCCCAGCATGTAAAACAGAGTCTGGTGTATAGTTGGTGCTTTAAGAAGGGTTGTGCTCTGAAGGTCAAACCACATGAAATCGACAAGGGTAAACTCACTACCACCGCAGGTGCCTAGGCCTGGGCTTCTGGGAGAAGTTCACCAGTCACACCCACCAGTCCAAAGGCTCATGTGTGCTCCTGGCCCTGGGCCTCATCCTCGCCCCCTCCCCAGCCCCCAGCCAGGTCCTCACCCGTGGATCTTCTGCTGGGCAGCCTTACTCTCCAGCACCAGCCTCTGGTTGGTCAGTTCCAAGTCTCGGGCTGTCAGGTCCAGCTGCTCGTACACTTTGGCGTGCTGCTCGTTCACATGCCGCAGGGTGTCTAGCTGCTTGGTCAGGTACTGGGAATGGGTGAGTTGGGGCACTGAGTAACTTTTATTTATTTAATTTATTTATTTATTTATTTTTTGAGTTGGAGTCTCACTCTGTCGCCCAGACTGGAGTGCAGTGGCCGCTCCCAGTCACCACAGCCTCAACCTGCTGGGCTCTGGCGATCCTTCCGCCTCAGCCTTCCAAGTAGCTGGAACTACAGGCGTGCACTACCATGCCCGGCTCATTTTGATTTATTGTAGAGATGAGGTCTCACCAAGTTGCCCAGGCGGGTCTCGAACCCGCGGGCTCAGGCAATCCACTCACCTCAGCCTCCCAAAGGTGGGATTACAGGCTGAGACACCGAGTCCGGCTAATTTTTTATTTTTTTAATTTTTATTTATTTATTTTTATTTTTATTTTATTATTATTTTTTAGTTGGAGTCTCACTCTGTCGCCCAGACTGGAGTGCAGTGGCCGCTCCCAGTCACCACAGCCTCAACCTGCTGGGCTCTGGCGATCCTTCCGCCTCAGCCTTCCAAGTAGCTGGAACTACAGGCGTGCACTACCATGCCCGGCTCATTTTGATTTATTGTAGAGATGAGGTCTCACCAAGTTGCCCAGGCGGGTCTCGAACCCGCGGGCTCAGGCAATCCACTCACCTCAGCCTCCCAAAGGTGGGATTACAGGCTGAGACACCGAGTCCGGCTAATTTTTTATTTTTTTAATTTTTATTTATTTATTTTTATTTTTATTTTATTATTATTTTTTAGTTGGAGTCTCACTCTGTCGCCCAGACTGGAGTGCAGTGGCCGCTCCCAGTCACCACAGCCTCAACCTGCTGGGCTCTGGCGATCCTTCCGCCTCAGCCTTCCAAGTAGCTGGAACTACAGGCGTGCACTACCATGCCCGGCTCATTTTGATTTATTGTAGAGATGAGGTCTCACCAAGTTGCCCAGGCGGGTCTCGAACCCGCGGGCTCAGGCAATCCACTCACCTCAGCCTCCCAAAGGTGGGATTACAGGCTGAGACACCGAGTCCGGCTAATTTTTTATTTTTTTAATTTTTATTTATTTATTTTTATTTTTATTTTATTATTATTTTTTAGTTGGAGTCTCACTCTGTCGCCCAGACTGGAGTGCAGTGGCCGCTCCCAGTCACCACAGCCTCAACCTGCTGGGCTCTGGCGATCCTTCCGCCTCAGCCTTCCAAGTAGCTGGAACTACAGGCGTGCACTACCATGCCCGGCTCATTTTGATTTATTGTAGAGATGAGGTCTCACCAAGTTGCCCAGGCGGGTCTCGAACCCGCGGGCTCAGGCAATCCACTCACCTCAGCCTCCCAAAGGTGGGATTACAGGCTGAGACACCGAGTCCGGCTAATTTTTTATTTTTTTAATTTTTATTTATTTATTTTTATTTTTATTTTATTATTATTTTTTAGTTGGAGTCTCACTCTGTCGCCCAGACTGGAGTGCAGTGGCCGCTCCCAGTCACCACAGCCTCAACCTGCTGGGCTCTGGCGATCCTTCCGCCTCAGCCTTCCAAGTAGCTGGAACTACAGGCGTGCACTACCATGCCCGGCTCATTTTGATTTATTGTAGAGATGAGGTCTCACCAAGTTGCCCAGGCGGGTCTCGAACCCGCGGGCTCGGGCAATCCACTCACCTCAGCCTCCCAAAGCGTGGGATTACAGGCTGAGACACCGAGTCCGGCTCTGAGTAACTTTTAGAATGGGGCAGGAGCAAATGTCTCTGCCGGGGCCCTCCTACCTCTTCTTTATTTTATTTTATTTTTTTTGAGTTGGAGTCTCACTCTGTCGCTCAGGCTGGAGTGCAGTGGCACGCTCCCGGCCACCACAGCCTCGACCTGCTGAGCCCAGTCAGATGATCCTTCTGCCTCAGCCTTCCAAGTAGCGGAATCTGCAGGCATGCGCTACCACGACCAGCTAATTTTTTGATTTATTGTACAGATGAGGTCTCGCCATGTTGCCCAGGCTGGTCTCGAACCCGCGGGCTCAGGCAATCCTCTCACCTCGGCCCTCCTCCCTCTTCTAGGGGCAGGTTTGCTTTGATGTATTCGTCTTCAGCTGAGGGAGGGGTACACAGGGCTGCCTGATATAGTCGTGTCAGGCCAAGGCAGAGTGGCTTAGGCAGGCACTTTTCCCCTAAGTTGCACAAAGGCACACACAGGTCAAGAAATCCTTGATGGGGGGAGGCAAGCATGTGCAGGGCCTCTAGGGTTCCTCACCTCGATCTCCTGCACTTGCTCCTCATTGGTGGAGTACATTTGCTGCAGGGACTCCTCCAGCTCCTTGTTCCTCTCCAGCAGCGTCTTTCCCAGCTCTGCAGCCAGGTGCAGGTCTACATGGGAGGGGCGGAGGGTGGGAGAAATACCGCAGCGTGAAAACAAAGGCGGAGGCTCCCCCATCAATGTCCAGAATGTCTGTTCTGGGTGGGACCCCAGGGACCCCAAGGTAACCAAGACATAGGTTGGAGGGGAGCTGAGCCTTGGCTCCGTCACCTCTGCTTGGAACGTCTTTCCCCCAGACACTCCCAAAGCTTGCTTCCGCTTCTCCCTCAAGTCTGTGCTTGAATGTCACCTCTTCCAGGGGGTCTTCCCCAACCACTTGATTCCGAGTTGCACCTTCCCTGGCCCTGCACTCTCTCCCCTGCTTAATTTTCCTCCTAAGCACTGAGCAGTATCTCACTTACCCAGCAAGTAACTCATTTATCTTGTTCGCCTCCTCCAACTAATTGTGAGCTTGTGGGAGAGATTTTTATCTGTTTTGTTCACTGATATCCCCAGGGTCTGGAATATCCCCTAGCTGGCACAGAGTTGGTGCATAGTGGACCTTTTTAAAAACATAATGAGTGAGCAGAATGTGATAAGAGCATCGACAGACATGGGGCAAAGTGCCCTGGGATGACAGGTAAGGGAGAGTGTCACGCTTCCTGGGGGCGATGGGAGGCTCAGGCAGAATGGACAGCCCTCAAGTTTGGCCTGGAAGAGTAAATAGGAGCTCACGGATATGCAGAGAGCGCAGAACAGCTGGCTGGGTATCAGGATTGGGAGAGGATTCAGAGCTCTTTGGGCTTTCATTTTTATGGAAGACAGGCAGGAAAGCACAAGTGACTTGCTCAAGGTCACCAGCTGGTTTATGGCCCTGCCTGGAGTAGAATTCAAGTATTCTTACCCTGGTTGACTACCATTTGATCTTGGTGACATGTGCCCATTTCTCAAAGCTTCTCTTTTCCTTGGGCAGCAAAACCATCCTCCTCCCACAGCAGCCCTGATTTTTGTACCCTGTAGGACCAAACCTCTCTTCCCCCACTCCAGCCAAAGATAAATTAGCACCCATCAGAAAGGCTGGGAGGGAATCTGCCATTTTTAGGGGGATGCTGAAGGGTTGAGGCAGAGGAAGGGTCTGGAAGGAAGTGGCAGGCATTAAAATCTCTAAAAATCGGGCTCGGTGGCTCAGCCCGTAATCCCAGCGCTTTGGGAGGCTGAGGTGAGTGGACTGCCTGAGCCCGTGGGTTCAAGACCTGCCTGGGCAACTTGGCGAGACCTCCTCTCTACAATAAATCAAAAAATTAGCCGGGTGTGGTAGCACACGCCAGTAGTTCCAGCTCCTTGGAAGGCTGAGGCAGAAGGATCGCCGGAGCCCAGCAGGTCGAGGGTGCGGTGGCCGGGAGTGGCCATTGCACTCCAGTCTGGGTGACAGAGTGAGACTCCCAACTCAAAAAAAAAAAAAAAATCTTTAAAAATTATTTTTGTGGGTTGGGCTCGGTGGCTCATGTCTGCAATCCCTGTGGGAGGCCAAGGCAGGAGGATCGATTGAGCCCAGGAGTTTGAGACCAGCCTCATCTCTACAAAAAAAAAAAAATTTAAAAATTAGCCAGGTACGGTGATGTGTACCTGCAGTCCTAGCTACTTGGGAAGGATCACCTGAGCCCAGGAGGTTGAGGCTGCAGTGAGCCATGATCATGCCGCTGCACTCCCCAGTCAGGGCAACAGAGTGAGACCCTGACTTGAAAAAAATTTATTTTTGTGGTTCTGAGTTGTGTGATGGTTGCTGGACATTTGGAGTAGAAACAATCCCCCCACCACACATGCGTATGTTAAATGTATATTGTTCCCTTTATTTCTAAGAAGAGTTAGGCAGGGTGGAGACAATACTCTAAAACTGTGATGATAGTTGCACAACTCTGAATATAATAAAAACCACTGAATTCACTTTAAGTGAGTGAATAGTATTGTGTGTAAATTAAATATAAATATAGCTGTAAAAAAAAAGATTAGGCAGCTTAATTCAGAGACTTAGACTGGTTTGGAGAGAGCAGATCCTTAAAGAAATCTTTAGAGTAGGCTCATGCTGAGTTTCACAAGGCTGTTTTCTTTTTAAGATAGCTTAAATGTTTTTTTCTTAAGTCATGCTTGTTGTAAAAAAAAAAAATCTAGCCAGGTGCAGTGGCTCATACCTATAATCCCAGCACTTTGGGAAGCCGAGGCGAGAGAACTGCCTGAGCCCAAAGGTTCAAGACCAGCTTGGGCAACTTGGTGAGACCTCATCTCTACAACAAATAAAAAATTAGCCAGGTGTGGTGGTGCATGTCTATAGTCTCAACTACTTGGAAGGCTGAGGTGGAAAGATCCCCTGAGCCTAGCAGGTCAAGGCTGTGGTGGCTGTGAGTGTGCCACTGCACTCCAGCCTGGGCGACAGAGTGAGACTCCGACTCAAAAAAAAAAAAAAAAAAAAAAATATCTAACAGTACAAGGCTGGGGGCAATGGCTTGTGCCTGTAATCCCAACACTTTGGGAAGCTGAGGTGGGAGGATCACTTGAGGCCAGGAGATCAAGGCTAGCCTGGGCAACATAGTGAGACCCTGTCTATATATTTATTAAAATATATTAAAAATCTAACAGCACAAGGCTGGGCATCGTGGTTCACACCTGTAATCCCAGGACTTTGGGAGGCCAAGGAGGAGGACTGCTTGAGCCCAGGAGTTCGAGACCAGCCTGGGCAACACAGCAAGATGTCTCTACAAAAAAAATTTAAAAATTAGCAGGGTGTGCACCTATAGTCCCAGTTACTCAGGAGGCTGAAGTGGATCACCTGAGCCTAGGAGGTGGAAACTGTGGTGAGCTGTGATTGTGCCATTGCACTCTAATCTGAGCAAGAGAGTAAGACCCTTGACTCAAAAAAACCCCCCAAAAACCAAAAAAAACTAACAGTGCAGAAAGGTTAAACTGGTGATAAAAAAATTACTTGAAAATATGTCTCATATATTATCTTAGGCGGAGGCAAGAGGATTGTCTGAGCCTAGGGTTTTGAGACCAGCTTGGGTAACTTGGCAAGACCACGTCTCTACAAAAAAATTAAAAAACTAGCCAGTGTGATGGTGTACACCTACAGTTCCAGTTACCTGGAAGACTGAGGTAGAAGGATTGCCTGAGCCCAGCAGGTCGAGGCTGTGGGCTGTGGTAGCCTTGAGTGTGCCACTGCACTCCAGCCTGGATGACAGAATGAGATTTCAACTCAAAAAAAAAAAAAGAAAAAAGAAAAAAGAGCCAGGCTCGGTGGCTCAGCCCGTAATCCCGCGCCTTTGGGAGGCTGAGGTGAGTGGATTGCCTGAGCCCGCGGGTTCGAGACCCGCCTGGGCAACTTGGCGAGACCTCATTTCTACAATAACTCAAAAATTAGCCGGGCATGGTAGCGCACGTCTATAATTCCGGCTACTCGCAAGGCTGAGGCGGAAGGATCGCCGGAGCCCAGCAGGTCGAGGCTGCGGTGGCCGGGAGCGGCCACTGCACTCCAGTCTGGGCAACAGAGTGAGACTCCAACTCAAAAAAAAAAAAGTAAAAATAAAAAATAATCTTAGATCCATATCTGGGAGTTCCTCAAAGAGACATGGTCTGAAATGAAAGAATAATGTTACTCGTCAGTAATTAAAATTACACTCTGCGTGTGTGGAATGGGAGGAGGGGAGAAATGAAGTAGAAAGAAAAGAAAATATAACACCTAGAGAAAATTGCTGTTAGCATTTTGGTGACCATCCTTCCAAACAACTCTGTGCTTAAAACACCTGGAGACATAATTTTGTGTCAACAGAATCACATTTGTCTGTAGCTGCCTTCTTCATTGAACAATACAGCATGGGTATGTTTCTGTGTCACTACAGATCCATATAATCATTTTTAGTGGGTGTAAGATATTCTATTGTAATATGCTCCCTAAGTAGCTATCCCTAAATAGTTCTTATTGTTGCGCCTTTAGAATGTCTTCAATTTTTTTCTCTAATAAAAACGAAGCAGTAATTAACTTCATTGTACAAGTTAATTTTTTGTGCAAATCGCTGCCCATTTCTTTAGGATGCTTTCCTGGAAACAGAATTATTGGGTCAAAAGGTGGTCCTTTGTGACTCATTCTGCCAAAAGACTGTCCAGGAAAGTTTTGTTTGTTTGTTTTTTCACTTTATTTTTTAATTTTTTTTGAGTTGGAGTCTCACTCTGTCGCCCAGACTGGAGTGCAGTGGCCGCTCCCGGCCACCGCAGCCTCGACCTGCTGGGCTCCGGCGATCCTTCCGCCTCAGCCTTCCCAGTAGCCGGAATTACAGGCGCGTGCTACCACGCCCGGCTGATTTTTTGATTTATTGTAGAGATGAGGTCTCACTGCCCAGGCGGGTCTCAAACCCGCGGGCTCAGGCAATCCACTCACCTCAGCCTCCCAAAGGTGCGGGATCAGAGGCTGAGCCACCGAGCCCGGCTGTGTTTTTTCACTTTATAAGGCTGTTTCTTAAAACAGCTGATGGCATAAATCCAGTTCAAGATGCATAAAGCCAATATGGGTCCAGGATTTGGCTCTTTCCTGCTTTCCCTTTTAAGACATAGGGATGGTTCTCGGATCCCTAGGGGATGGATGGGCTCTATACCCCTCCTGGCAAGTTGCCCAGAAAGGCTGGTTCAGCTGAGCCCCTTGGTATGCGTTGGATAGGCCTAGGGTGGAGGTCTTCCTCTCGGACGAGGCTTGGAGAGCTGTGACTGGTGGTGGGCAGCTGAGGGCAGGGCCTTGGGCTTTCTTTCAGCCACGCTGGGGGCAGGACTGATGTTACCCTGAAAGTCAGAGGGGCTGACCAGCCACCAGGCCTGGACAAAAGGCCAAGCTACCCAATAGGAGCAGACAGAGGTGAGGTTTGAAAACAGTCAGAATGGAGCCTCCAGGGCTGGGCCTAAGCCAGAGGAGACCCCATGTCCAGATGTCGTTCTGAAAAGGCGTGGAAGCTGCTATCCTAGAACAAGGCTGCAACAACTTATCCTGGAAAGACAAAAGCAGTTTTCCCAAACCCCTACGCTGGCCATTAAAGAAACCTAAATTATATAAATCATAGATAAGAACCTTTATCCTCGAGCAACTAACTTTTTGATGAGGATGCCAAGAAAAACTAGTTGACTAATATAAACCTAATAAGGGAATGAACACACTTGCTGTATGTATTTATTAACTGTAAGCTGGGCAAAAGTATGGAGGCATCTACAAAGTGTGAAGCTTGATGTTAAGATCACTGAACTAAGCCCTGTGTTATGCTGTGTGCTTGGCAGTAACTCAGGAGACCAACAAGACCACAGCAGCTCCTGATGAGAGAGCCATGCCATTGTTCTGTTTTCTGTAAGAGGGCAGCAATTCAGTTCAGCCCCCAAAACTATATAGTAGTTCAGGAATAAATGAAAAAAGATCAGAGGGCCACCCTCCTAGATGTTTTCTCCCTTGGAAACTGTTGGGTGGTCTGCAAAGAGGCCAGTGCTACTGATTCTACCTCCTGCAGTGGTGTCAGGGGACACATGGGTGGCTTATGTAGAGCCCCTGCAGCTTAACTAGAGTCTGGGGTCACAGCATCAGAGGTGAGGGAGGAAGGGCCAAGTGTAATGCAACATCATTCCCTCCTTTCCTTCCAGGTGAATGTCTGGGCTGTGTGTATATTCCTAATGCTGGGAGACCAGGGTGGTAGATACCACATCATAACCGGGGACACTGAAGATTGCCCTTCTAAGGCAGCAAATATGACCTGGGCTACCTAGTGATTCAGGATGGGGAAGAAGGGAAACACAGAAGAAGGGTGGGGTGGAGGGGCAGAATCTCCAAGCATTTCAGGGAAGCTGGATCACAGTGCAAGCTCAGCTGATCAAAGCAGCCAGGAGGCAGCACCGGAAGAGTCTAGAAGCTGCAGAGCAGGGGACGGAGTCGAGTCAAGTGCTAGGGAGAGGACACCAGCTAGCTGGCAGGCTCCAGGCTCAGGGGACAGAGGCCTGGGAGCTGGAAAAAGGGAGAGATGGCAAGGCAGGAAGTAGAAGCAAAGTAACAAACAGCCTGTCACAGCCAGGTTTATGGGTCACACTGGATCAAGCTGGGGATGCTACTGAGTCTCTCCTGCCCGGACCCTGGGGTTTTCTGGGGTCTCCTTCAGGGGCGTTAGTGGTTTTACATGAAGCAATGCCTCAGAATCCTGAGAAGGAATGGCTGGGGAGCCGAGGGAGTGTCTTTGAAAAGAAACCTTGAAATACCACTGCCCCTCACTGGCTGGTGCACAAGAGACTCCAGAAGAGAGAGGTGGGAAAGGGACAGAAAATACATACAGGGAAAGAGACAAAGGTAAAAGGTGTGAGCTCAGATGGAGGACATGAGTTACCATCTGGCAGGGTTGTGGAGTGCTGTTCCCAGCCCACAGGCCACTGTCAGGAACTCTGAGTCTGCAAAACTGGGGGCAGGTCACCTTTGGGGCAACCAGGGTGGAGGGAGGACCTCCCTCCCCTTGCCATGTCATAGCTTTCCTGAGGCTGAGGCCTCAAGGTCAAGGCCTCAAGGCTGAGGGAGGAGAGGGTGGGCGTCCAGGACTTCAAATCCATGACTCAGCAGGCATCTCTCAGCCTGGAAAGAGGAACCCATAGTGCCTGCCGCTCCTGGCCTCAGGCTGGGGAGGGAGGTGGGCAGAGAAAGGGAGTGCCAGTGCTTAATAATTAATGGTTTTTTCTATTTTTGCAGGTGCTCGTGGCAGTGGGCAGAGGGAACACAGCAAGAATCTAGGACCTCGCCTATCACAACGGCTCCCCTTCACCAGAACAGAGAAACATCACAGTTGAATGGGATCTCTACGCTCAAACTTCTGGAAAGTGAAGTTGGGGTCTGCCCTTGAGGCAGGGGGAAACAGTACGGACGCGGAGGGGAGACCAGGTGGCTGGTTGAGAAAACCACTTCCTGGGTCACTCAGAGGCAACCTGGGGGCAACTGGACAGAAGATAATTTAAGGAGCCTGACCCGCAATTGGCTGGCCCTGGGCTCTCGCTTCATTCCACCATCCAGCTCTCCATGCCTTGCCGTAGGGCGCTGAGGGGACTGGGCCCATGGGGGTGAGTTTCGGTACCTGTGTCTGGGGCTCTGCCCGCCTCTCCTCCCTCAGTGTTCTCACTGCCTGGGCACAGCATCCCTTTCATACATTCCCTAGAACGCCTGCCCCCTCCCTCGGCCTTAGGAGATCCTTTCCACCCTCCCGCTCAAAGGGGCCTTGGCATAAACTTTTGAAGACTCTGCTCTCACTGTTGCTGTGCCAGTATCCACAGAGCCCCTCATGTTCTGACACCATTGTTAGTTTAACCTTATTTTGGTCTCCTCTGACGTAATATGGAGTCCCCTGAGGGCAGAGACTACGTCTATCCAGGCTCAGCACAGCACCTGGCCCACAGTAAGTGCACAGCCAGTTTTTGGTGGAATGCTCTCGTTTCTTCCGCGACTCTCATTTCTAGTTTCCTTTCTTGTTCCTGGACTCTGGCTACCACTGGGGTTGCCAGGCCAGGCTGGATGGTGCAGACCAGCAGGACCAGAGAAGGAGGGGCCTGTAGGGAGCATTCCTCTCCTGTTCCCAGAGCATGGCCGCCCAGCCCAGCTGGAATCTGGGATACCACTCCCACTCGAGAAGCTGCACACCTCCCACCTCTATTCCCTGGCTCCTTCCTCACAGGTATGGTGCCAAAGCCTTCAACAGGAATGGAGAAATTAAATGAGACAACAACAATATTCGCACCTGCCTCCCCAAGGGCCATCTTCCTAAGAACACAGCTTCCAACCTTTCCTTTCAAAACTGCCTCTTCCAGGAAGCCCTACTGCTTCCTATGCCCATAATACTTCTCCACCTACACTTAGTTACAAGCCACCTCCTTCACTTGCCAAGGTATACCTTGAGGGTCAGGGCTATGACTATTCCCAGCTCACAGGATGGTATCTGGCACTTAAGGGGAACCTGATAGGTATTCATGGAAAAGTTTAGTACCCGGGATAGGGGAGGGGGTTATCACAGCCAGTGCAGGGTATCCCATTCCAGGCAGGGAGGCTGAGGCCAGAGTCCAGGGCATAGACCACAGCGGGGTCTTGCCTAGTACTCTCAATCCCACATTCCTCCGCCCGAGGCTGATTAACCCTTGTTCTGAGCACAAGGACAGAGCCTCATCTGCCAGTGAATCTTGGCCACATGGGGAAGTGGGTCAGGGCCAGGAAACAAAGGCTTCAGGATCTGGGTAGATGCTTCACATTAAGGAAAAGCCAGATTGCTGGGGCCCTGTGGATGGAGACCAGGGTGTGAGCACACCAAAGCAGGGCAAGGTGGCATAAACGGCACTAGACTTGTGTCCACACCCACCCACTTGCTTGTGACCATAGGAAGGTCACTTCTCCTTGGACATGTTTCCCTGCCCCCTTCAGCTCTGACCATCCAAGAATAAGGCACCTTGGGGGAGGAGAGGGTGGATTTGACTCCACTCTAGCAGGCCTCCTCCTCCTTCCTGTCCCAACAGCCCCGCCCTCTACTCCCAGTGATGTCACTCCGGCCACCTCATCACTAGCTTCTGAACCCCTGTCAGTCGCCCTTTCCGCCCTCAGATGGGGGGTACAGGGGCGGCAGAGGTGGCTCCGCTTTGCGCAAGGTTTAATCTGGTACCCTGTCTGGAATTCCTAAACCCATCCCCTCCAAACCATGTGCATTTGGGAGGGGACCCGGGAAGGGAGGGGTTGGGCGACTCCCATCTGCAGAAGGCACACTGCGGACTGGACTTTCCACGTCTTCACCGGCGTGGTCCGGCACCACTGCTCCCTGGGTAGGAAGCGAGTTGGGGAAACTTTCTGGGAGTCTTAGAGCTCATAAATCCCGGCAGGAACGAGTGCTGCCGGGCTTGGAACGAGATAACTTCCCTCTACACACACTCCACCTTTCCGTCCAAACACAACGAAGGAGCCACCTCCCGGCCTCCAAGGACTCCCAGCCAGCGCTCAGCCCCCTAACAATACCAGGGCAGCCGGGCAGTAGCCGCCTCCAGGCGGGGGTGGGCGAGTGGACGCCGGATGCCCTGTCGTTTGGGAAAACGGGAAGACCTCCCTCCCCCCACGATCGCAGGTCCCGCCGGTCCGGGCAGGGTCTTCCCGGGCAGCGCCCCCTCTCCACGTCCCGGTTCTCCAGACGCATCACTCCTCCGGGTCGGGCGCGCCCGGTCCAGCCCTGCCCTTCCCGGGGCGAAAGCGCCCAACAATGGAGCGGCGGACAGGGGTCACCGGGTGCACCCCGCGCTCACCCTGCTCTAGGTCCTGCTGGTCGTACCAGGGCTCCTCTTCCTCTGCGAAGTCCTCCATCCCGGCGGCTCTCCGCATGGCCCCGCGGGCGCGGGCGGGTGGTGCGGCGGCGCCGCTCAGGCCC